AAATATTCAATGTCGATATTGTTGCCATCACTATCATCACCTCATTTATCATTAGTACGATACATAAGCCGACGAAACAATTTTCGACGAAGTGATTGTCGACGAAACAATTTTCGATGAAACAAACTTTCGACGAAATGGTGTCGACGAAATGATTTTCGACGAAGTAAACGGAACCGGATTTATCATGATTCAACAATAAAATAAATTCTTTGAAATTTAAAAAATAGAATACAAAATTAAAACTTACAAAATATGTATCAAATCCTGTCTTATGTGCTATGTAAAGGTCGTTCTGAGTACCAATATTGATCAAATTATGTTGCTTCAAACTCAGGCACTAAAGAGAGCTCAAGCGCATTATTAACATTATTGCGTATTACTACGTACTGCACGTAATTCTGTAGTTAATCAATTTAACACAACTCATATGTATGTAAAGATAATTTGATTTTTTACATTTTATAAAATGTAATAATAAAAGAATGGTTTAAATTTGTAAAAAAAGGAGTGGCCTTTTTATTTTGAAAGAAAAGATACAGAAAAAAAAGTTAAGTAATATTAATTTAATGAAGTAAAATTTCTAATTCGAATTATAACTTTCCATGATAATTATTCTTCTTGCATCATTGCAATGTGCATACAATGATATAATAATTCTTTATTCATCCCCAGATACACATTTTTACATAATTTGAAACTTTCAATTATTAATTTTATCATTATCATTATTTGCTGCTTGTATCACGTATCAAGAGTTATTTACTTACGTCAAGTACGTCAAGTGGTTTTAATTACATCAAGGGCTTTTACTTTACTCAAATCATCAAAATGACCTTGATGAAAAACTACCTTTAGTCAATACTTTAGTCACATCAACGACTAAAGTCAAAAGTTTCATCATACATCATTAGTCTCGATGTTAAACACGAGCATTTTAATGTGTAAACTGGTCAGTAGAATGATAATTAACCCTAAAAAAATTTATTTGCTCCGCTAAAAAGACTATTTTATAATTCAACAGCCTGTCAAATCAATGGCCTCACCTCAAAACCAATGGGTTTTCGCTAGTATAAAGTATTCATAATGTTATGATCATACCGTACTGAATTTTGGGATCAAACAAAATCAGCGTATATGTATTTAATCATTAAATACAAAGTTGTGTCTTAAACACTATTATTTAAATCTCTGCATAAAACCCCGATTCACAACTCTTTGTTAGCTTAGAATAAATGCCATTATTTACATTAAAATAAAAAAGAACTCTGCAGCTTTATTGTTCTATTCCTCTTTACATTTTAACTTAACTTGGAGCCTGTATTTCTCTCTATTCTTCAAAGAGTTATAACCGTTCAAAGTTGTCAATTATTGGCTAATTTTTATGAGCGTCTTCTCAACTTTAAGGTCACATGATCACAAGTTTAAAAAAAATCACAAGTTAAATAAAAATAAATAACAACCTTTAAACGAAACTATGAGAAAAAGAACCTTTAATTTACTTGGAATGTATAACGAAGTTATAAATAAAAACTTTGAAGAAAAAATAATAAAAATTATTGATTACACAACGGGAAAAAACTCTTATAACAGAACTACTAAGCCTAAAAAAAATACAATGGAGGCAATTTGAATTGATGTTGTAGTTAGTCGTTTTCCTCACTTTATATAATAAAATGTTTCATTTAAGTTCATTGTAACTTAAGTAACAAGCCCACAATTAAACTCTATTCTGTCAAGAGTTATCGATCTAATATATGAATGATCGGCATAATATAAATTAAGCTAAAATTTTGAAAACAGAACTTCTGAAGTGTGTCGAAAGCAATGGGCGAATAGAGAAAAAAGAGGGTTAGAGTTTTAGTTGATTGGAAAACAACAATAATATTTGCAGCATAATGTGCCATTGTATATATAATTACTAGTAGGCTTTTTTTTTTTGCAAAGTTATAAAGCAGACTGTAGAAGATTTCCTTTTTTGAAAAACTGTAGGTTAGTGCGTTTGACAAATTTAAATAATAATAATAATAAGATTTTCAAAAAAATGCAAAGACTAATATTAATATTAAACATTTTTCAAGATTTTCGAAATATTTATATTGAACAAAAAATGTTCTATTCCAAAATTAGAATTTTTTTTCATACCTTTATTAACAATTGTTAATAAACAAGCTTACAACTGAGGTTGCAATGCAAGCTTTTGCTATGCAAGAACAAAAATTCATTCATTTTAAGTTGGCTTGTATTTCATCTCCTTTGTCACAAAAAGCAAAAAAATGACATCATTCAGACCAAGAAATTCGAAACATACAAATAGGACAGCCATCTTCTCATTTTTTTTTTTTTTGAAAATATTTTCATGAAACAAAATCAGATCTTAATCTTTATTATCATCCTCAAAAAATATGATCATTGTTGTTTGCTACTTGTTGCTATAATAATAATGCTTTCTCATAATTTATGGATCATCATATATTACTAATGTAACCTATCAATTCAATTAATGAATTTTATCTAAAATAAAAATTAACAAAAGAGAGAGGTCATGTCACAAAAGGTCAATACACTCACCCAGCATGAGCCACCAGCAAGAGTTTCACTATCTCACTGCTGGACTTTAATAACACATTTAAGTGAGTCACATGGTTGTACCCTGAGACGAGTATTAGTAATGGAAAAATGAGTCTTATATACCAACTTTTTTCAATTTGCGCTTGGGATTATACAGTTTACAACATTTCATTGGGCAAATTCTATTCCATAATTTTTATTGTGTAATCCTGCATAATCTAAAAAAATCAAAATTCAAAATAATTCAATAGAAAAAGTAGAGTTGACGATAGGTTGCAAGTTTGTGGAAGTAAATGTTAAATACAAGATGCATGACAACGTACAAAGCTCCCAAAAAAAGTTTGTAAAATATACTGATGACATTTGAGATGTCCACCAGCAATATGGGGGTCTGAGAACTCCTGGCCAAAATTGAGTTTTTTGCATAATGTATATCTATATCATAAGGATTATAGTTGGTGAAAAATTTAGAACATGTTTACCTAGTACAATAATGAGATACAAGACTTGAAATATTTACTTTACATATCAAAACTATTTGTGTAACCAATTTTGTTTTGATTATAACACAGAACAATTTAATAGTCTCAGACCCCCTTTTTGCTGGTGGACATCCCAATGTGGATATAAAGGAATTCACACACAAGGAAAGTATTAATAGCAATATCATGTTTATTTATTTATTTTTTATTTTAACCAAGATACATAATTATATAATTAGATTGAAAAAATACAAGTAAATAATTGCAAGAGTGATTGTATGGAAATCCAAGACCAGACCAATCACACCATTACATGTTCAAGACCAATCAAGCAATTATTTGAATACATTGGTACACTTTTGTAATTTTATTGAAGGGGATAGGTTTGTATGCAATTTAAATTCTTTTGTGTTAATTTAGAGTCACATCTTTCTTTTGCTCTTGTAGGTAGCATTTTACAAATCAAGTTATTTACCTTAATTTGTGCTCTGTGAGACAACTGCAAAATTTTGCCAATCATTTATTATAATTTTGTGGCGATAATAAACAATATAATTTTTAGAATTTTTGGAATATGACTGTCTCTCTCACGTGATTAAGCATAATTACACAACATAAAAATTTAAAACTTAACTTTTCAAAGTAACCCTTCTATTTTTTAAAAATTTTAAATTGAATATATATTAAAAAAATTTTCTATTTTTTTAAATAAAAACAACATAATGGATACAAAGAAAGTTTATCCAGTTTTTTTAGTTTCTCTTGGTTCTTTAAAAGAATACTTGCATTTTGGTGATTTTTCTCAATATTGGTGGGAAACCAGATAAACTGATAATAATTTTGCTTTATATCCTATTAGAATAAACAGTTAATCAAGCAATTATTTGAATACATTGGTACACTTTTGTAATTTTATTGAAGGGGATAGGTTTGTATGCAATTTAAATTCTTTTGTGTTAATTTAGAGTCACATCTTTCTTTTGCTCTTGTAGGTAGCATTTTACAAATCAAGTTATTTACCTTAATTTGTGCTCTGTGAGACAACTGCAAAATTTTGCCAATCATTTATTATAATTTTGTGGCGATAATAAACAATATAATTTTTAGAATTTTTGGAATATGACTGTCTCTCTCACGTGATTAAGCATAATTACACAACATAAAAATTTAAAACTTAACTTTTCAAAGTAACCCTTCTATTTTTTAAAAATTTTAAATTGAATATATATTAAAAAAATTTTCTATTTTTTTAAATAAAAACAACATAATGGATACAAAGAAAGTTTATCCAGTTTTTTTAGTTTCTCTTGGTTCTTTAAAAGAATACTTGCATTTTGGTGATTTTTCTCAATATTGGTGGGAAACCAGATAAACTGATAATAATTTTGCTTTATATCCTATTAGAATAAACATGAAAACTTTAGTTATTCTTAATAAAACACAATTTTTTGTTACTGTCATTGAAGGTAATAAAGACTGTTTAAATAAGCCAGGTTATATGTGTGAAGCAAATGGTTTAGCAAGTGATGTTTTTGATAATTCTTCAGCAGCTATAATTCATTATATAAACAGTTGTTTACTTCTCAAGCAAAATGTTCTGGTCCTCTTATCACTGGGCACAATAAGCCAGAAATTAATAATCGTTAACAGAAGATATAACATTTCATCCATTCAATTGTATCTATGATAAATTTACAATATTTATTTATGGAATTGGTGCATCTTCAGATGATGAATTATATTATGCAGGCCCAGGGTTTAAATCTTTTATTTGCAAAATAGGGTCTAAAAAAAAAAGTACTCTATTTGTACAAGATATAAAAAATAATAATTCCACAGTAAAAATTTATCAAGATAATAATTTGATGTCTACACATGTTGGTAGTGATCCAAATGATGTATGGGAAAAGATTGGATATTTAAAAAATTATAAAAGCATTGACTGGTTTGGTATCAATCAACCCCAAGTTCAATCCTTTATTCAAACAATGCATATACCTAAATGCTTACCTGAAGAATGGAATAATGTTAATAAAATGGAAACTTTGTGGAATTATTATCTACGAAAATGTACATTGGCTTCAGTGCAATGGAGTGAATTTTTCATTAAATGGCAAAGTGAAAAAAATTCTGTAATTAAAATTACAGATGCTTTAAAAAACCTATATCCAGAAAATCATGTGTTTGGTGATAGGGAAATTCAAGCATGGCAAGCAATGTTATCTCATGCTGGATGTACTAATATAACACCTTTTTCTAAAAGTGTATCATCAGTAAGTCATAAAATTTATTATCATTGAGTTTATATGAAAATAATTTGGGAAAGATTTATACTTGTATTAATATTTTACATAATGTCTAGAATGAATTTTGGACATGATCCAGTGATTCAACAAATGATTATAACAATTTGAATTTTTTATATGAGTCAGGATTTTTGAGTCCACATCCACTACCTAAACAGGATGCTAATGATGGAGAAGTTCTTTGGGATTGTTTTCATCAATCATTACAAGCCAATAAAAAAGGATATAATAGGAAAAAAAGAATCCTTTCTATAATAGCAGAAAATTTTCTTATAAAACTTTGATGGGTAAATTAGGGGTAAGTATCAAAAATATAAAAAATAAAAATCAACCAATAATCTATATTTACCTTTGTTTAAATAGATAGCAGAAGGTACAATTCTTGAGGCAAAAAAATATGCACAAATTAATGGCCCTGGTTGTGAAGTAATAGAAAAACCTGTAAGAAAAATCAAAAGAATTACTTCTGAACAAGAAGAACAATTCAATACCTTTTTTCAAGACAAAGCCCATGTCATAATGAGTTCTTATAAAACTGATGCTAAAACAGGTCAACCAGTGGTTTATCTAAAAAATACAAAAAGTGCATTATGGGAAAAATTCAATTATTCTTTTCCAAATGGTATTAAACATACAACCTTTTATGCCAAATTAATGGGTAATCAATATGTTAATCATGAAAACCTTGGAGGATTATGCTCTACATGTAGCACATATGGATATGAAACATTTGAAGATATTTTGAATCTAATAAGGGAAATAAACAATATGGAATTACAGGTATATTTAGTTAACAATTATAGAATTATGTTTTGACATATATAATTATTATTAAATAATAATCTTATTTAAAGAATACCTATTCCCAAGATGTCAATTCTTACAATGTTATTTAAAGAAAGAATATGAAGAACATTTAATAGTAACAGATCGTGGAACAACTTCCCATGACTCATGTATAAATCATTGCTTGTTATATGCATTTGGTGGATGTGATGCTCCACATACTCATTCCTGTGACAAATGTCAAGAAATGTTTCAATTTTTTGATGATTTGAAAAATAATCTCAATACCTCACATGATGAAGTAATCCAAGAATATAAAAATCGATTACTTTATTATCTTTCACATCAAACCAGGAAAGTTTATTTAAATGCACAGTTTAATGCTGCTCTTTTAGATCTAGATGAAAATGGAGCAGTATTAGTCATTGACTATAAGATGAAAATACTACCCAAAACCTCACATGAAACAAAAAATGATTTTTTTGGAAAAAAAGGCTGGACATTACATACCACTTTGTTATATACTAAATCCATGAAGATCCTGAAATCAATGTAGAAGCAATAGATCATTGGTCCACTGATGCTCGTCAGGATGCATGGTTTACTGCATCATCATTGCATTCTCTAATTAAAAATCTGGAAATAAAACCAAAATGGGTAAGTATACTTTCTGACAATGGTCCTCACTATCATAGTACAGAACTTATGATTATCATGAGCAAATGGTATGAATGGTATGGGATTCAGGTAAAAAAATGGATATTCTTGGAGGCAGGTGAAGCTAAAACTGCAGTGGACTCACATCATGCCCAGGTCTGTGAAATTAAAGCTAATTTTCTTTTGAACTACTACATACTAATAATTAATAATTAATAATTAGATATCCCTTTTGATAAAATGTCATGTTCAAATTGGTGGAGAAATTCAAGAAGGGAATGATATTACCTTTGCTATTGAAAATATTGCAGGTACTTCAGTTGCCCACATAGAGCCAAACTGTGTGAAAGGTAAGCTTTGAATTATAAATCTTCAAGATTTATTTATAGTTTATCATTAATGAAACAACATGTAATATCTCTGTAAAAAAAGGAAAGGAAAAATCTACAACTATACCTGGCATATCTAATTGGTTTGAATGGAGTTGGCCTATTGAGGGTGATAATGCAGGATATATTCAGGCGTGTGCCTTACCAAATCTTGGAAATTGGGTATCATTTTCTCCAGCCCACATACAAAATTTTTTAAAAAATGAAATTAATCAACCATCACCACAGCTGTCTGAACCAACTAAACCAAAATCTCCATGGAAAATAGCTGTTCCTAATGCTTCAGGTAATTTGCATAAATCAGTTGGATATATCAGATTGATTTCTAAAAATATATCAAAATATTAGGAATTAAACCAAAAAGATTACTATCAAAAGAATTAAAAAATGAGTTAAAAAGTCAAGGAGTTGAATATGAAAATCAAAATAAACGACAAAAATTAATAGGAATGTTGGAAGAAGAATTGGGACATGAAACATTAGTAAATACAGAAGGTAATATATGATTATGTATATGTGCTCCTAATATGTTACAATGATTTTAATTTCCAATGAATGAATTAAAGATATAAAATTTACTTACATATTTTTAGGTTCGCATCTGAGGAATCCAAGCATGTCTAATGAGGAACAAGAAATAATGTAAGTTTATATATAAAAAATTATTTCTGATTTATAAAAGATAATAAAATTGAATATCTTACATACCATAGACCAGTGGAGGTATCCAACTTTCCATTAACAGGTGGTTGGGCATTGAAAGAGGTTCAAAAATATGGTAAGAAAGGTGGGGGTAAGTGTATGAAAAAAAAATTGTACATATTTTAGAACAGTGCTTTTTGGCTGGAAATATTGATAAGGGTTGTCGAATGAGTGCACAAGAAATGTTGGATTATTTGAAGTTGAAAATGGAAGAGGGAGAAATTGAAAGTTCAGATTTACCAAAATTGTCAACTATACAAGAATGGATAACCCGTGAAACATTAGTAAATACAGAAGGTAATATATGATTATGTATATGTGCTCCTAATATGTTACAATGATTTTAATTTCCAATGAATGAATTAAAGATATAAAATTTACTTACATATTTTTAGGTTCGCATCTGAGGAATCCAAGCATGTCTAATGAGGAACAAGAAATAATGTAAGTTTATATATAAAAAATTATTTCTGATTTATAAAAGATAATAAAATTGAATATCTTACATACCATAGACCAGTGGAGGTATCCAACTTTCCATTAACAGGTGGTTGGGCATTGAAAGAGGTTCAAAAATATGGTAAGAAAGGTGGGGGTAAGTGTATGAAAAAAAAATTGAATTTTGTCGCTGATTTACAACATGTGTTTTGGATTATTAGGGTTATTGTAACCTGTCACTAAAATTTAGACCCTCTAATTTTTATGTTCAATTGTTCACCAAAAAGGTATAAATAATGTTTACATTCTTAATGTGGAAAATAAACAAACACTTTTTATAAAGAAAAGTTGACACTCCAGTTAAATTTATTTATATATACCGAACCGCCTAGGGAATAAAACAACACTTTATTAGTGGCAATTTTCAAATTGACTAAGGAGATAATAGAATGAGAACAACCTTAAAAACAATTCTGGCTTTAACATTTATGTTGGCCTCAACAATAGCTTTTGACTTTATCATTTCATTTATTTATTTAGATTGGATAATTGAATTGAAAGATTACAAATTTTTTGAGGTTCAAATGTTATTTGTCCTGTTTGCAAAAAAAAGTAAATCCGACCTTGGCCTTCCCAGGATGTGATGCAATGGAAAATTTAGGGCTCGCATTCCGTCTTCGATAAACAGAGATCGAAGGTTTTATATAATAAACGAGGTATATACCCAATGTAGGGTTCTTAAGTTCTCAAGATTTATATAAAATTTAACTAATTTCGTAAACAAGGAGTAATCCAAAACCACTTGAACCATTTCCACCATCACCATCAAAACAAAAGTATACCTACAATTCTTTTATGCGGTGCAGATTATGGAGGAGGGAAATAATGTATTTTCTCTTTTTTCTTAAAGCTGAATTTTTATTTTATCTATTTATATGAATTTAATAATATAAATTGAAACATATAGCATATATAACAGCAACGTCACCTGCCTCCATTGTTGACCAGGACGTAAATTAACGGTAATTGCAGTTGGGGTGAATGTTTACGACCTTGTAAGTCATCTGCTCTTTGAAATTTTGATTATTTTATCTGCCCCTCGTGGTTCCAAGTTGAATAAGATGGTAAAGAGCGAGTACTTCTACTATATTGATTGACCTAGATGATGAAACTGGCTGATGGAACATTGGAATATTGATCCTATTCCTCGTTATAACAAACAGCCATCCTTTCTTCCATTCTTTTTTATTATCTCCGAGAAAATTTTGATTGAAGAGTTGGTTACTGTATTGCAAGTTAGACTTGATGAATATCACAGCTCAGTTGCAAGAACATGAAGAAAGAGGCATATTAAAGCTATGAAACTATACAATGAAACTGAATCCATACCTGATTAAAAAAACTTTTTGGTTACACGAAATTCAATTTAGTCTCGATCGGTTTCAAAAATGCTTCAGTCTATTTTTAATCTAAGGAAGTTATCTATAATTAACAGTCGAGCCCATTTTTCATACAACTTTTAAAAAACGTCACTAATAAGCTTTAAGTTTATGACTCAATTTTTTATGGTTGATGATTCCGGTAAAATGTCAACCCAGTCTTTACCTACGCTACATGCTAATGCTAGTTTTAATGCTAATTCCAGTGCTAATTTTAATGATAGTGCTAATGCTAATACTAATGCTAATACTAATGCTGCTACTATACTATTTGAAATTTTTTAGTCCCTTATTAAGTTTTGGGGTCTCTTCCATACCAACTAAAATAATAATAGTAATTGGTTTGTTTGCTAAAAATAATTTTTTTCCTTGGCCTTCTGGGCCCTTTTTATCCACTATTACTTAATTGTTTCTATTCTATCTTTCTTTCTTTTTTTTACGGCAATCAATATAAATATTGATTTTTTTCTTTTTTTTTAACTAAAAAAAAAAATAATTTTAGTTCTCTTTTTTTCTATAAATAAAATTCTGAATGGAATG